TTATTTTTATTTATTTATTTATTTATGTATTTATGTATTTTTTGAGACAGAGTTTTGCTCTTGTTGCCCAGGCTGGAGTGCAATGGCGCGATCTCAGCTCACTGCAACCTCCGCGAACATTGTTGAAATGATAACAAAGGATTTAGAGTATGACATAAACTTAGTTCATAAAGCAATGGCAGGGTTTTGGAGGCTTGACTCCAATTTTGAAACAAGTTCTACTGTGGGTAAAATGCTATCAAATAGCGTCATACTACAGAGAGATCTTTCATGAAAGCAAGAGTCAATGTAACTTTTATATGCATTGGGAAACCAAAATATTTGTGTGACCTTACTTTATACTTGCGTTATTGTGGTGGTCTGGAATTGAACCTACAATATCTCCCGCAGATGCCTGTATGCCACTCAGGTCTGAAGTTAAACTTCTGATGTCAGTTTAGATTAAATTGGGATACATTCAGCAAATTATTAGTGAATAAAAAGTTTTGTTAATTCACGAATTTTAATTCCCAATTGTATTTTTAATTTCTTTTAAAAACTATCCCCTGCCACTGTATTCCTCCCTCGTCCCCCACCCCCATGCTATAATCTTCTGAGCTTTATGTTAGTAACCTATTTTTAAAATGTTGTCAATATTATAATGTTGAGAAATGTTCAGGCATTGATTATGTTTCTGTGTTTCTTTATACTAATAATGCGGTTTTGATTGTGTGTGTATCAGCTGCCATCTGCCCCATCGATACCATAAGCCTGCCCGCAGCTGTGCTTATTCTCCCCTTCCCTGTCCTGCCTAGCTTACAGGGTTCTCCACTGGTTAGAAGTAAGCATTAAGGGCGCTGTCCTCAGTTGCAAGCTGTGGTCACTGTCCATCAGTATTCATACTTTGTTTTCATTGCTAATAATTTATTTTTTTAATTTTTTGTACTTTTTTTTTTTTTTTTTGAGAAGGAATCTTGCTCTGTCACCCAGGCTGGAGTGCAGTGGCGTGATCTTGGCTCACTGCAACCTCTGCCTCCCAGGTTCAAGCGATTCTCGTCTTAGCCTCCCGAGTAGCTGGGATTACAGGCACGCAGAGCTAATTTTTGTATTTTTAGTAGTAGGGTTTTACCATGTTGGTCAGGCTGGTCTCAAAATCCTGACCTCAAGTGATCCACCCGCCTTGTCCTCCCATAGTGCTGGGATTACTGGCATGAGCCACCATGACTGGCCTCATAGTTAATAATTTGATCCATGGAGAATGGTTTCTGTAATTCTCCTTTTTCTCTCTCTCTTTTATTTTTTAAATTCTCCTTTTTCTCTTTTTTTTGAGACAGAGTCTCACTATCGCCCAGGCTGGGGTACAGTGGGGCGATCTTGGCTTATTGCAACTTGTGCCTCCCAGGTTCAAGCAAGTCTCCTGCCTCAGCCTCCCAAGTAGCTGGGATTATAGATATGTGCCACTACACCTAGCTAATTTTTGTGTGTGGTTTTTTTTTTTTTTTAAGTAGAGACGGGATTTCACCATGTTGGCCAGGCTGATCTTAAACTCCTGACCTCAGGTGATCCGCCCTCCTTGGTCTCCCAAAGTGCTGGGATTACAGGCATGAACCACTGCATCCAGCCTAATTCTCAAGTACCTCTTACTTGTTTGTATAAAGTACTTTGCAGATAAAGAGCAATTACTGGCCTTCTGAACATAATCAATAGGTTTAGGAGGCAATCACAGAAATTCTTCAGGAGAATTCTGAGCCCTTTTCTGAGATTTAGAAAAGCGTTGTTCAGCAGAAAGAAGTGTCATGTGAGTTACTCACATAATTTAAAACTTTCTAGTTAGAACATTAAAGAAGAATAAAGAAAAACAAGTGAAATTCATTTTACTGGTAATACTTTAACTTATCTAAAATATTTCAAATGTAATCAATTTAAAAATTATTAAAGGGGTGGGTGCAGTGGTTTATGCCTGTAATCCCAGCACTTTGGGAGGCAGAGGTGGGCGAATCATGAGGTCAGGAGATTGAGACTATCTGGCTAACATGGTGAAACCCCGTCTCTATTAAAAATAACAAAAATTAGCTAGGAGTGGTGGTGCACACCTGTAATCCCAGCTACTCGGGAGGCTGAGGCAGGAGAATCGCTTGAACCTGGGAGGCGGAGATTGCAGTGAGCTGAGATCATGCCACTGCACTCTAGCCTGATGACAGAGCAAGACTCTGTTTCCCAAAAAAAAAAAAAAATTAATGGATTAATTTGTCATACTTTTTTTGTACTAAGTCTTCAAAATCCATTGTGTATTGTACACTCATGAAACATCTGAATTTGGACCAGCCATGTTTCAAGTGCTACTTGTATCTATTTGTTATCCTGCTAGACTTTGTAAGCCTAGAATTTTTTTTGTGTTGATAATCTTCTCATTTAAATTTGTAGCCAATACAAATTTTCTTTTTAAAACTAGTACAAGGGTACTAGTATGTAGTATTTTTAGCTATAGCTACACTTATTTCAGAGATGGTCACTATTTCATATTACTTTCATTCATCTCATTTACGTATTTTAGATTTTTATTTGAAGAGTTCCCTTTTAAATCTCTGTCTCCCTGCCTTTTATTTTTTATTTTTTGAGACGGAGTCTCGCTCTGTCACCAGGCTGGAGTACAGTGGCGCAATCTTGGCTCACTGCACCCTCCGCCTCCCGGATTCAAGCGATTCTCCTGCCTCAGCCTCCCAAGTAGCTGAGACTGCAGGTGTGCGCCACCACGCCCAGCTAATTTTTGTATTTTTAGTAAAGATGGGGTTTCACCATGTTGGCCAGGATGCTCTCGAGCTCTTGACCTTGTGATCTGTCCGCCTCGGCCTCCCAAAGTGCTGGGATTACAGGCGTGAGCCGCACCTGGCCTTTTTTTTTGTTTTCCTTTTTTTAAAATTTACGAGACAGTCTCCCTCTGTCACCTTGGCTGGAGTGCAGAGGTATGTTCTTGGCCCGGTCATAGCTCACTGCAGCCTTAAACTTCTAGGCTCAAGCAATCACTTCAGCCCTCAAACAGCTAGGACTGCAGACACGCACCACTATACCTGGCTAGTTTCATTTTTTTGCAGAGATGGGTCCTTGTTCTGTTGCCAAAGCTGGTCTTGAACTCCTGGGCTCAAGCAATCCTCCTGCTTCAGCCTCCCAAGGTGGTGGGATTACAGGCTTGAGCCCTTGGGCTTAGCCTCTTTTTTGCTTTTATAACAAATCACAAATGACTAATAAATGTTAAAGAATACTTAAGAAATATTTTTTCCTGTTAGAATACATGTTAAAAATAGTTTTCCCTGTTAGAATGCAGGAAAACGATTTTTACTAAAAAACAAATATTAAGGTAATGGATATGGATCTTTTTATTATTATTATTATTGTTTTTTACAGGTGTTGAAGAAGAAGAAAAAGCTGCAGAGATGCATAAAATGAAATCTACAACCCAGGCAAATCGAATGAGTGTAGATGCTGTAGAAATTGAAACACTCAGAAAAACAGTTGAGGACTATTTCTGCTTTTGCTATGGTAAAAACAATACTTAATTTTTCTAAAAGATACATTATATAATTGAGTTTTCTAAAGGGGAGATTAATTGATTTGAAAATTATATGACACACATTTTCACTGATTGAATGGATTAGCAATAAATAACCTTACTTTCTTTTTTGTTTTTGTTTTTGTTTTTGTTTTGAGACGGAGTCTCACTCTGTCACCCAGGCTGGAGTGCAATGGCATGATCTCGGCTCACTGCAAGCTTCACCTCCCGGATTCACACCATTCTCCTGCCTCAACCTCCCGAGTAGCTGGGACTATAGATGCCCACCACCACACCCGGCTTTTTTTTTTTTTTTTTTGTATTTTTAATAGAGACGGGGTTTCACTGTTTAATAGAGACGGGGTTTCTCCTGACCTCATGAGCCGCCTGCCTTGGCCTCCCAAAATGCTGGGATTACAGGTGTGAGCCACTGTGCCTGGCCCTAGCCACCACGCCCGGCCGTAGCCACCGTGCCCAGCCCTGCAATAACCTTACTTTCTTCCACTTCCATTTTGAAGGAACCCAGGAAGAAATGTCACCAGTAGAGCTGTTTCTTTCTTTCTTTCTTTTTTTGAGATGGAGTCTCGCTCTGTCACCCAGGCTGGAGTGCAATGGCACGATCTCGGCTCACTGCAACCTCCGCCTCCCAGGTTCAAGTGATTCTCCTGCCTTAGCCCCCCCAAGTAACTGGGATTACAGGTGTCTGGCACCATGCCCGACTAATTTTTGTATTAGATTTTAGTAGAGATGTGGTTTCACCATATTGGCCAGTCTGGTCTCGAACTCCTGACCTCAGGTGATCCGCCCACCTTGGCCTCCCAAAGTGCTGGGATTACAGGCGTGAGCCACCATGCCCAGCCTAGCTGTTTCTTTCTAATATGCATGCTCATCTCTCCAATTCCCTGCAAAGCCACCTTTTGTTACTCTTGTCCCATCATAAAACGAAGCTCTTAACACGAAAACAGTCAAAGGAGGAGATTGAGGTTTTACTGTGGGGTCATAGGTGTAAATCAATTCTCTGGAATGGGATTTTCAGTATGTGTGAGGCTCACTGCCCAATAGGTTGACAGTATATATTCATTTGTGAATGGGAAGCTTGTGTTTACCTGATAAGTTTTCAATGAGAATATTAGCTGAAATATTCCTGATATTTTATGGTAATGGTTGGATGTGCTGGGCTTCTATATTCTGAGGCCAAATTGTACCTGAGAATATGCCAGGATGGGACCATCTTCAAGAAAGGCAATAGTGCAAGAAACCAGCCATTGCTCTTTCTGTGTAGTTTTTAAAGTAAAATATTGTATCTACTTTTCATTTTGGCCCTTTGGATCAGTTTCAGGTTTAGACCTTCTGCTGATATGGGGAGCTAGAATGCTGTAGTATTAATTAATTTTGAAATCACATATTATAAGAAATCATGGATGTCCTTATTAAGCCACAATAAGCTAGCGATGATTTCGTTTTTTAATCTTACCATTGAATGATGTTCATCTGCTTTTCACCTCCCCCAGGGAAAGCTTTAGGCAAATCCACAGTGGTACCTGTACCATATGAGAAGATGCTGCGAGACCAGTCGGCTGTGGTAGTGCAGGGACTTCCGGAAGGCGTTGCCTTTAAACACCCCGAGAACTATGATCTTGCAACCCTGAAATGGATTTTGGAGAACAAAGCAGGGATTTCATTCATCATTAAGAGGTGAAGTGCTTTCTCCCTTTGTAGCCATCAACAGTTGATTCATATAAATTTGAATATTCAGCTTATGTTAATAGAGTTTTAAAATTCATATTTAACACAGAAGTCATTTAAATGTATGTGCTACAATAATTTTGTGTATTCATATGGAGTTTTGTTTTGTTTTGTTTTAATGCAGACCTTTCTTAGAGCCAAAGAAGCATCTAGGTAAGTAAGAGATTCACTTCCTTGATAGCTGGCTAGCCTCCGTTTTGCTAGATTTTAATACACTTCAATGGTTTCTGTTTTATTTTCTTTGAGAATATGATGTCAGACATTTTTGGATGGGCTGTTTAGATGTTTATATAATCCACGAAAGGTTCATTGAGCTAAAAAAGTGGAGACTTGTTTTTTTGTTTTCTTTTTTTTGAGATGGAGTCTCGCTCTATCGCCCAGGCTGGAGTGCAATGGCGCGATCTCGGCTCACTGCAACCCCCGCCTCCCAGGTTCAAGCAATTCTCTGCCTCAGCCTCCCGAGTAGCTGGGATTATAGGTGCTCGCCACCACACCCGGCTAATTTTTGTATTTTTAGTAGAGACGGGGTTTCACCATCTTGGCCAGGCTGGTTTTGAACTCCTGACCTCATGATCCACCTACCTCAGCCTCCCAAATTTCTGGGATTACAGGCGTGAGCCACCGCGCCCAGCTGTTTTTTTGTTTTCAGCTTCGCTGCTTGTTTTCTGTAGAAGATCATATGTCTGCCCTCACTTAGCAGAATTATGAGTAGGATTTAATTGACCTAATGTCATTGACTAGGCAAGGCATTGTTGGGCACAGCATTGGGTGGGGAGGGGATATGCATCTGTGTATCAGCATTACAACTGTTTAGAGCTGAGAGTCTCACGAAGAGAGAAAAGTCTGTAAAGTGAACATGGCAGGAGCATCACATCCCTACTGCAAGAATGGTTCTGAGAAAGGGCTGTGGATATTATTGGAGGTTGGATACCTTTATAGTTCGGGGAAGAGTTCATGAGGAAGAGAGCATTTCTATGGGCCCTTGAGGAATGATGAGGATTTCAGCTTCCTTTAGGGAAGTCTAGCCATTTCATTTGAAGGGAAAACAGGATAAAGAGTGGTATCCTTTAGAGCCAGGTTTATTTGAGACTTTCGGAAGTAAATAACCAGTATCACTGGAATACTCTTAACCATGTAAGGATGAAAGGAAAAAATTATATATACATAAACATACACATTGTATTTTCTATTAACCTTTGTTTTATTCTCATTGTGGTGAAAAGATTAATTTTTTAGCAGATTTATTGAGGTATAATTGATACACCATAAAATTCACTTGTCTTATTTTATTATTATCTTTTTGAGACGGAGTCTTGCTCTGTTGCCAAGGCTGGAGTGCAGTGGTGTGATCTCAGCTCGCTGCAGCCTCCGCCTCCCAGGTTCAAGTGATTTTCCTGCCTCAGTCTCCAGAGTAGCTGGGATTACAGGTGTGCGCCACCACGCCTGACTGATTTTTTTTGTATTTTTAGTAGAGATTGGGGTTTCACCATGTTAGCCAGGATAATCTCAAACTCCTGACCTCAAATGATCCACCTGCCCCGGCCTCCCAAAGTGCTGGGATTACAGGCATGTGCCACTGCGCCCAGCCAAATTCACCTGTCTTAAGTATATAATTCACTAATAGTAGATTTACAGTCTTAAAATGTTTTTAAGGGTTTTTCATCCTTCATCACAGTCTAATTTTGGGATGTTTTCATCATCCCTCTGTTATTTCATGAATGTTGTAGAAATGGAATATGTAGTATGTATCCTATTGAAATGAGCTTTTTACACTGAGCATCATTCACTCGAGGCTCATTGAGCTTGATGGGTGTATCCGTAGTTTCTTTTTATTGCTGAGCACTAATTATTCTATGACAGGAACATATACCGCCTGTTGATCCAATCATCAGTTTATAGATATTTTGGTTGTTTCTACCTTTGGGTATTGGGAATAATGTTACAGTGAACATACTTGAGCAAGTTTTTGTCTGGACATATTCCTTGATATCTCTAGGATTTACATAGGAGTGCAATTACTAGGAATAGGGTAAATTTACGCTGAACTTTTTTTTTTTTTTTTTTTAATGAGATGGAGTCTCGCTCTGTCACCAGGTTGGAGTGCAGTGGCACGATCTTGGCGGCTCACTGCAACCTCCGCCTCCTGGGTTCAAGAGATTCACCTGCCTCAGCCTCCCAAGTAGCTGGGATTACAGACACGCGCCACCATGCCTGGCTATTTTTTGTATTTTTAGTAGAGATAGGGTTTCACTATGTTGGCCAGGATAGTCTCAATCTCTTGACTTCATGATCAAGGGAGGCCTCCCAGAGTGCTGAGATTACAGGCGTGAGCCATCGCACCCTGCTACACTGAACTTTGAAGAAACTGACAAGCTGTTTTCCAAGGTGGCTATACCATGTTATACTCTAGCAGCAGGATAGGAGGGTTACCCCCACATTTCTGCCAACTTACTTCTTGATTTTAGCCATTGTAATAGGTATGATGTGGTATCTCATTTTTGTTTGACTTTTTAAAATTTCTCTAGTGATTGTTGATGTTGTGTTATCTTTTACCTTCTTTTTTGAGACAGGGTCTCACCCTGTTGCCCAGGCTAGAGTGTAGTGGTGCCATCTCAGCTCAGTGCAGCCTCAACCTCCCAGGCTCAAGCAATCCTGCTGCCTCAGCTTCTCAGTAGCTAGGACTACAGGCGTGCACCACCATACCCAGCTCATTTCTGAACCTTTTTTGGTAGAGAAAAGCTTTTGCGTGTTGGCCAGGCTGGTCTGGAACTCCTGAGCCCAAGTGATCCACCTGCGTCGGCCTCCCAAAGTGCTGGGATTACAGGCTTGTGTTATCTTTCATTGTGCTTATTGGTCATCCATACATATTTTTTGGATAAATATCTATTTAGGTCCTTTTAGGTCCTTTTCCCATTTAAAAATTGGGTTTATTTGTCTTTTTATTATTGAGTCTTAAGAGTTTTTTATATAGTCTTGATATAAGTCCCTAATTGATGATTTGTTAAATTTTTTTTTTTTTTCTTTTTGCGATTGGTGTCACTCTGTTATCCAGGCTAGAGTACAGGATTTGGGAATATTTTCTCCAATTCTAATAAATCTACATTATTCTTAAACTGTGTAACTTGTCTTTTTCACCTGCTTGGTAGTATCTTTTGAGACAGAAACGTTTTAAATTTTGATAAAAACCAGTTTATTCTTTTGTCACTTATGCTTTTTTGTTGTTGTTGTTGTTGTTTTTGAGACAGAGTCTCACTGTGTCACCTAGGCTGGAGTGCAGTGGCGTGATCTCAGCTCACTGCAACCTCCATCTCCTGGGTTCAAGCAATTCTCCTGTCTCAGCCTCCTGAGTAGCTGGGACTACAGGTGCCCACCACCATGCCCGGATAGCTTTTGTATTTTTAGTGGAGATGGGGTGTCACCATATTGGTCAGGCTGTTCTCAAACTCCAGACCTCAGGTGATCTGCCCTCCTCGGTCTCCCAAAGTGCTGGGATTGCAGGCATGAGCCACTGCGCCCGGCCCTCACTTACGCTTTTGACTTCATGTTTAAGAAACCATTGCATAACCCAAAGGCATGAAGATTTGACTTCCATGTTTTCTTCCGCAAGTCTTATAGCTTTGGCTCTTATATTTAGATCTATGGTTCATTTTGACGTCATTTTTGTATATTGCACAAGGTAAGGGTGTAAATTCATCTTTTTGCACGTGGATATCCTTTGATTCCAGGATAATTTGCTGAAAAGACCGTCCTTTCCCTCGGGATATCCTTGTCATCTTTGTTGAAAGTCATTTGACCCTATGTTTATTTCTGGACTTTCTACGTAGGAGATCAAGTTGTGTGAGAATCAAGACAATTTACCACTTCCTTTGCAGTCTAAGTGCCTCTTATTTCTTATTCTTGTTGCTCTGGCTAGAATATAAATGTCAAACAGCATTGGTAATAGCAGACATCATCTTGTGATATTAGTAGGAAAGGATTTTGACCATGAGCTATGATGTTAGTGGTAGGATTTTTGTGTAAATCTCTTTTAAGAAGGAGAAATATTTGTCATGTTTATGTTGAATTTTAGACTTAAAAGTTTTTTTATTATTTTTATTTATGTGTTTATTTATTTTGAGATGGAGTCTTGCTCTGTCGCCCAGGCTGGAGTTCAGTGGCGCATTCTTGGCTCACTACAACCTCCGCCTCCCGGGTTCAAGCAAATCTCCTGCCTCTGCCTTCCGAGTAACTGGGATTACAGGCACCTGCCACTACACCCAGCTAATTTTTATATTTTTTAGTAGAGATGGGGTTTTACCATGTTGGCCAGGCTGCTTTCGAACTCCTGACCTGAAGCAATTTACCCATCTCAGCCTCCCAAAGTGCTGGGATTACAGGTGTGAGCCACCGCACCCAGCCTAATCTCAGCACTTTGGGAGACCACAGTGGGAGTCTCCCTTGTGTCCAGGAGTTCAAGACCAGCCTGGGCAACATAGCAAGATCTAATTTCTACAAAAAATAGAAAACAATTAGCTGGGAGTGGTAATGCATGCTCCTGTAGTCCCAGCTGTTCAGGAGGCTGAGGTAGGAGGATTGTTTGATCCTCGGGAGTTGGAGGCTGCAGTGAGCTATGATCATGCCACTGCACACCAGCCTGGGCAACAGGGTAAAACCCTGTTTCTAAAAAAAGAAAAAAAAAAAAAGAAAAAGAAAAATGTGTATCATCATTTATACATCAGCAGAGTCATATTCTCCATATTCCATCTTACTAGACAAATGGTATGTGTCTGCATTTCTCTCACTGATGAAAATAGAGCTTTTTCATTCAAGGAGGGTGTGGTTGGGTGAAGGGATGAAAAGCAATGTTTGTTCTGGTGTGATCCAGAGCTGCAAAGCCTAGTTCTACCCCATTCATTCTAT